TTTTCTATGTGAGCACGTGCTAGAATTATGCACTTCGACTACATTATAGTGGCCATTTCTAAGTTTTGATTGATGCATTAAATTCATAAGTGTAGACGCATGTGGATTTAATTCGAAATTAATACCGAATTATTTTTCTAGTGTAGACAAGGCCATACTGTTCGTACATCTCGTGTCGTGCGCATAAGGAACGTAACGAAACGCAACGTGTATGTTTCATGCCGCCACACGTACAGACTCTATCGCATTGTACAGTGTCGTTACGATCAAAATAGTTATTTATTGGCCCATTTTTCTCCTATCAAAAGGCTATTCTGTGTTTTAGTGTATAACTGTGTTTGAAATAAAATTTTAGAAATTTCCTTCTCCAACTTTTGTTTATTACCGTAATAAGTTACAAAAATCTAATTCACCACAGTTTTTGAAAAGATAATACCAAAGTAATGTGGCACAATAAAGAAAGATAAATAATCAGCCAAAAACAATGAAGAATAACAAAAAAATCACAAAACAAAAGAAGAATACATCAAAATAAATTCAGGTATATCAGGAAATATCAGGCAATTAGGATCAACATTTGACCAAGACATCACACATAAATCTGACAAAAAAGATTAAATTATCAGGAACATTTAACCATTGTTGTCATGCTCTTGAAGTTGTCTCAGTCTTAAAAAAAAGTTAATAGTGTGCTTTACATGAAACTAAAAATATGACTTTCTCTGCTTATGACGACTGCAAGAACTTCTTTTCTGGCCCTTGATGGTTTTTTCCCTTGTTTCTTCCAGAATATCTCGAATTCGATAGGCTTGTCTTTAAAATATGTTTCTTTGATAACTTCTACAAAAAAATCTTTTATTTTTGACATTTTTTAAAATGAAAATAATATTATCTTGAACCTTTTCTAACCGTTCATCGAATGGAATACCTCGTCGAATTTCATCAGAAGAATACAGTTTCCGAATTGTTGAACAAATCATTGCAGTTGATTCAATAGAGGGTTCTGTATCAATCAGATTAATTCCATTAAACATCTGTCAATGAAATAAAATACAAGACCTATTCGAAAGTTATTTGTATTGCGATCGGTTGAAGATCCGTAGCAGGTGTTATAGTTGCATTCTAGAGAAAAAAAGTTCAAGGTAGAAAATTAAGATAAAATGTTTTTGTTACTAAATGACAAAACAGTATTGTAAAGAACAAGTTTATTATTAAAGAAAAGCAATTTGTAATAATAAAGAAAAAGCTTACAAGTTTTTGATAAGCTAATGTTTGCAGTTGAGCTTCATATATTTTTTCTAAAAGCTTCCTCGTCGCTTTTTGCTCATTTGTAAGTTCTTTTTTAATTATTTTCAATCGATTCAAGTCGAAAGGTAAACTGCTTGGTCTGATCTTCAGCATCTTCAAGCTCTACAACTTCAGCAAAATTTCGTTTTTTTGGTAAAACTGGTGCCACGAAACCTACAACAAGCCATCAATTTCTTTCACACTATATAAAATTAAAGAATGCGTTGAAGCTTCGAAGCAGGAGTTGTAGGCTGTGTCCATGATTGTGCACATGGACGACGACGTTGCAATTGGGGTGTACAATAATTGTTGGATGCACCGTCGGCAAAAACAAATAATATCGTAATAATCATAAATACATAGTACTTACTATCTAATTCATATTGATCGGTATCATTATCAAACATTTCATGTGACCCAACATTTCGACGTATACGTGGTTCAGTATACTTGTTCGTTCGAGATGTTGTCATCTGACTTGAATTTCGAGTTATATTATTCGACGAGGTATATCCGATATACATCTGTAATACAAACAAGCAACAAAAAGCATATGATATGAATAGAAGACACAACATGAAAGAAATAGTTTTCTTTTCAATCATGTTCAAGCTCGTGTTCAATCTCAGTACATAAAAAAAGCTCCTTCGGAAAAGGAATAAAGATAGTTTTATGTCGAATTAAAGTACATGATACAATACACAGTGAAGACGAAACAGAATTAATGAAGGAAAAATAATTATTTATACGAAAACTCCAAGATTGAATACAATTAGTTTTCTCAATAAAAGAAGAAAATAGTTTATCAACACATAGCATTCGTTTAAATACGAAATACATGTGACTTTGAAATTCAACAAAAAAAATGATTTCACCAAAACATCGAGAATGAGAACATCTTCTATTCTCTATAGAAACGCGATGACTAGCTGTAGATTGTCTTTTTGAATACGCAAGAGAGTGGTACAAATGAATACCTGATTGAAAACGAGAAAAGATAGGAAGATTCTTTGGCTCTTTCTCACCAAATTTCTCCTGAAAAATTTTACGAAAAACCTTTTCATATTCAACCCATATTCTTGAATCAATCAATTTATCTTTCAGAAAAAATTTTGAGTAAATATTTGAGGAGATGGTGACGCATTTAATGTGTCTATTTGACGATTTATGCAATGCCAATAAGCTATCTGAGCACCTCTAGATATTGTGCCATGTGCTAGTTTTGAAAAATGATGTAGTGCGCTCTCGGGAGCAAACATAGAATGATAGGCTAAACTTCCAAAAGAAAAACGTTGTTCAGTAAAATGACATAAGGCATGGACAGAATAAATTTCCTTACATCGATTAAAGACTGAAGGAAATTCAGAAAGATATTCATCAATGTAAAGCCGCATATCAACTACATCTTCACGCGAGTAAAAAAACGTATACGTTCGTACGTAGACGAAAAATAAAGAAAACAATGATTGATGATTTGAAGGTAGAAAACGAACAGTTAGTGGCAGTGCTGCATACAAGAGAAAGGGACGCAATTGAGACGCTTTCCATTTATCTGATGAAGAAAAGTCATATGGTCGGCGACTAATTGAATGAGGATTAATAATTTCAAGCAAAAAATGATTCACTTGGATATGGATCGGCTTTGGAATTATTTGTTTCCAATGTGAAAGCAAAAAAGCAAGGTGTATCTCTATCACAAGGCGAAAATAATCCAATGTGGATTGGATTGGAATGCATATCAACAAACTTAATGGTGATAATCCATATACACCGTACGTACGAAATGCTTTTATATTTGATTGTTTAATTTGTTCGACACAATAAGCTATATGTTCTTTTGTTCGTGGTGGTGGACGTATTTGCTTGAAATCAACATACGGATATAAAACATGCCGATGCTGAGTACAGGATACACCTTCATATAAGCAATATGTACATGAGAAGAATCCATTATGGGCCGATATTTTATTACATTTAGATCGAGCCGGTAGGTCACCACCAACGATTAACACCTCAATGTCGAAATGTATTAAATCTAAATAAAAAAGTGAAGTTAAATTGAGTAGAATCAATGGTATTCAAAAAATAATTCCCTATATGTTAAACCTAAGTGTCATTAATTACTTTCTGTTCCGACATCGATCATTAAATCACCAGCGCCTGAAACCATGAGATCGTGTACAATGGAAGATAACAAACGATCTGGGTCAGGAGACACACATGAATGCCATAGTCCAAAGAGCATAATGTTCTTGTGATAATCTCTGATGGGATGAGGTATTTGTGCCATCATACCGACTACCTGATATAGAAAGAATAAATCATAAATTGTCACAAAAAAGTCTATATGAATGAGACCAAAATTTTTAAGTAGTCGTACTTACCGGCCAGATTGATGAATTATTCGATGTTGTTAATGGTTTCCCGTCGGTCGACATCATAATACTTATTAATTTCTGTGATAAACGATGTTTGTTAAATTCACCTAGAAGGAAATAAAAAGTAAATGTTTCTTTAACATCTTAGAAGCAAGAGTATTTACATACCAAATAATATATCACAAGCAGGACCTTTATCTGTATTCTTTTTATACCATTCAATTCACTCATAATTTATTGTCACAACACGTCGAATTTCATCACATATATTGAATAATATTAATTCAGAATTTATTTTCAGTGATTTTTTCTACATCCATTATTTAAACATTTATCTTTAAAATTTGAGTCTTTCAAAGCAAGACGAACAATAAATTATTGTTTTATAGGAAAATTTAACATTCAATTCTAACCACAGCTTGTGACAAGTAGCCGGGATTTCCCTACAACAAATGACACCGTTTAGAAAAATGGTCGTATAAAACAAATTTTCTTCTTCTTAAAATAGTAAAATTAAGAGTTAATAGAATAACTTACATGTTGGAAAATTCTCGCATAATATTTAAAAGTCGATTGGTATTTTTTTTTATTCATATTTGCTGCTCGTATAAACATTGCTAATTTATATATAAGATTATTTGGAAATCGATATAATTTTGACAATTTATTAACTTCTTCATTTTCTTCCAAATCATCAGATAGTGTTACTTCACTTACATTGTTCACACTGACAGTAGAACAAATAGTTTTACACGAATAATCTTCATAATGAATATTGCAACTGTCGAGATCTTCGTCAGCAATAAAAGCCTGATTACAAATTTCATCTGCGTCCGCAATAATATTTTGTTGTTGTTCATCATCAACATAATCTTCTTGCACATAATTTAAAATGACATTATGATTTGTTCGAGTAGGTGTATTCAACAGTTGGGAATATGGTTCATTTATTGGTTTGAATGTTACACGTAAGGAGCGACGATACTTCTGCTGCCGTCTCTTGGCATTGCAACGTTCTAAAGAAAAGTACATAGTTTCCCTTCATAAAGTATTATCAAATACTTACCTCGACTTAACCTTCTTTCGCACCGATATTTATATAAGATACCAGGTAGATGTTTTTCATTCATTTTATTCAATAACACAACTAACGTTATATGTTAAACAAAGTCAACTGAAAAAATTAACAAAAATATCATAATTCCAAAAGACGAACAAAAACAAATTGGTCAGTAGACATCATAGTTCACATTTTACAGAAAATGAAAATGAGTGCATAATAGACGTCGACTATTTAGTCGTTTAAAATAATGGACATTTAGTACCTTTCTTTTTCTTTTTCTCCTCCCGCAAGATGACACAATACCCGCCGTGTGCGAACCGTCACGTAAGAAATTAAGCCAACGTATAGCGACACGTCTCGACACACGTACATTCTATAACGAACGTGCTGACACGCGTTCATTGGCTGTTCTCAATAACATGGGGTATCATACGTTGTTCTGATGAAATCACTTCCATCTTTCTCCGTCGAATCGCTTATTCGAAGCAACATTATTCTACTGATTCGCAAGTATAAAAAAATAATGACAAGTCGACTGGAAGATTTACCGAATGAAATATTTCTTTTTTATATTTTTAATCGGTTTTCATTAATTGATATTCATATTTGTTTTTCGGCTTTAAACAGTCGATTTTCAGCTCTTCTCACTCAATTTATGCAAGGGAAGAACATTTTTATTGATGGATACTTGACCTGGTTTCAAATACATGCTGCCATCGAATACCTGTTGCCTTCAATCAGCGAAAATCAATTGAAAACATTAGAAATTCGTCACGATGATCTTTTCCGCCGTCTCCTCGATTTTAATCAGTTTAACCCATCATTTGTATCGACATTGTCTCTTGTCTCACTTCGTGATATTGAGTTCGACAGAGTTTATCATCTTTTGATTCGATGTGTACGCGTTCAATATGTAATCATTGATATTGAATCTGATGAAAACGATGGATCATGGTTGGATGGATCTCGATGGGATCAATTGATTGATTCCTATTGTCTCCATCTCGAATCACTTCATGTCGAAGTTGATCGAATCTTCAAAGATCCATTGAAATCAACATTTGCCATTGAATTATCATTTCGATCGTTGGCTTGGATACAGCGACAGTGGCAGGTCACTTGCATTGATCACAGAAATGCTCGAAAGTTAAAGATTCACCAACATAATTGATAGATTTCTCTTTTTTACCGAAGGAAGAATTTTAACAGATGTGATAAACCTTATCGAATACTATTTTATTCTATTAAAATTCTCGATTTTCATTTGAGTGCTATTCTTTCGAAAATCATTTATCATTCAATAAGACATCTCATCTTTGACAGCCAACTGATCAAATGATTATTTGACAGTATCAATACAATTCATCTTGCTCAACATATTTCAATGAGTATATTGAATTCTAGACAATTAATTGAACAGTTGATAAGATGTTTATGAACTTGACACTTTTACCAAGAAATACAATATGTACAGAAAGTCATTAAAAAGATGCATATCCCCACTAAATTTTGATCAAATAGGCACAAGCACTAACCACTTTAAGCAAAGTGTTCTTCATTTATATTCATTAAAGCATCAGAAAAAAACAGACATTTGTAACGCGTCTTGAGTTGAATACAATTAATAGAAATTCGATGCGGAGATCTGCTTTATCTACATGGACAACAAAAAAGGAGCATCCAAAAAATGAACAATATCTGTCCAAATACATTATGTATCAAGTTGGAAATTCTTCACAGCAGTTGGGAGAACCTTTCTGAGAGATATGGATGAGTAATACGGTAAGTTCCTACATATACCTTGACACTGATTGTCAGATACATTCCGAGATCACCAAGTCACAAAGCCACAACTTTGAGAGTGCTGGTGTGAATGAGTATATTGTATCTGCACCGTAACTAAAAACGTAGATTAATAAACCCTTAAAGTGTTTATCACAGTGAAACCTAATATAAACTCTTTTTCCATATGTGACATCATCATAAACCCTCTTTAAGGGTGTGGCTGTTTGACTGTGGATTTGGATGAGATGCCGCTGTTGGTATGATGTTTTAGATAAAGTAGTGATGGGCCATCAGACGTAATAAACGCTATACGTTCATTGCCATATCGTCGTAAGTCGTAAGAGAACAGAAAAAAAAAGTTGTAATGTAAACGAATAGAGTCGTAAGGGAAAGCGACAGAACGAAAGAAACGTCATATACTAAGCGGGGCGCACGAGTTGATTTTTTAACTCGCCGAGTTGACTCGCCTATGCTTAGAATGTTATTTTTCATGAATAAATGGAAAATCTTTAATGACATCTTTCGATTTTATTGTAATTGTTTCTAAGCGTCTTCATTTGCAGCGAAGTTTATCTAATCGAGACAATAAATTAGTGTACAGGGTGTCTCAAACGTCAGCTAACAAAAAGAAAACTATATCTCCACAAAGTTATAACTAAATGAGCTGATTTTTTCCTGATGGTACAGGATATTTCCAGGTTTTTATTCAATCAGTATAGTATCTTATGAACACACTTGAAATCTAGCATTATCTACCTCAATACGAAATTTGACCTTTTTTCCGTACACTCCTATCAGTAGTCAATCACAAAAAATAGAAACGTGTCCTACAGCTTATTCAAAAATTCCATTTTGTAGAGCTTCTTATGATGATCATTTTGGTAAAAACATTGTTCTATTTTCATCAAGAAATGACGGTATCAGAGTCAAAATACTAAAAAAAGTCGTATTGCTTCGACCAGCACTATTTGCCGTTTTTCAGTATTTGACTCGGAAAACATCTTTCCTTGATGAACATAGAACATTTTTTAACTAAAACCATCAGCAAAGAAGAGTTCTAAAAACTATGATTTGCCAATAAGTTTTCGAATACCTTTGCTTTTTTGTTTACTGTACATAGGCGCATTTTATCAAACTTTAACTATAGTAACTAGTGTTTTCAGATCTGTTCAGTGCGAAAAGATTTGAGAGGATTCTGTGAAGTTAGATAGAATAGAGAAAACTAAAGGATTCAAATAAAGTATTACACACTTCTGAAAATCGAACAACAGGAATTCACATGAGATTACAGAAACTCAAAATCTATAGTGTATCTTTGGCAGAAATTTGACTTTTTCTCTTTTAAATGAATGATAATAATTCTATGTGATGCTATTAAACCTTTTATTGATGAATAAAAACTTGGAACTATCCTCGGGTGACGGACATTTC